TCTTTAATATCTGCATAAAGATCTATCCATTTTTTTTCATTAGCAAATAATTTTGCTTTTCTAACTACCATATTTCACGTAACAGCTTTTGCAGCTTTACGCAGATCAATCACCTATAAAGAAAGCTCTTTTTCAAGTTCTGGAAAAGCTGGACTTTTGCCTTTATGTAATTTTTGAATATATGGTGCTGCATTTTCAAGTTTAGTTTTTTGATTTATCCAGTCTTGAACTTGTTTTGGTTCTATTTGAAATCGTTTTACAGTTAAACATTTACTTTCACATTGTTCTGCATGCTTTATTACAAGTAACTTTTCTCTAGCATACTATTGTCTTCTTTGTTTTGTTGTTACTCTTATTCTTTTATTAGCAGGTTTATTTCGGTGAACAACTATATCAAAAAGAAAAATGAAAAGGGAAAGATAAAAAAAAACAAAAGTTAAAATGCGAAACAAAAAAAAGGTTTTAAAATGTGCTTTATGATATATCATTTTGGTTATAAAATGATCAGTGATTACGATAAATGATAAAATCGTTGGAAATTCTTAAATTACGAAAAAAAATTTTCATTTAAAAAAATTTTTTAAAAAACTAAGCCACGCTATATGCATGCAAATATTTTAACTTCTTATTGGTTAATTTAAATTCAAATAGTAGACCTTATATGGTATAGCGTAGTATCCTCCTCCTTAGACCAAAGTACTCCCTGTAGTATAGTACCCTTCCAACTTCACGAATTAGTAAAATACCCTGGTACTTTAGTCAACCGTTTATGGTAATTCTAAAGGTTATGACTTCATTTTTAATATATTAAAAAATTTCTTATTATGTATTTTTTTCGTGGAATAATACTTTTAGCATTTAAAAATAAACAAAATAAAATGGTGATTGTGTAATGCGTTTTATACATATAAATAAATAAATTTGTAGATCAGTTTGTACGACTTTTTTTGGGATTTTTATTTTTTTTTTAGTATAATTATGAAGCTGATTCCGTTTCATCAAAGGGAACATATTTTTTCTCTCACTCAAGAGGGAATACCAAGTCATACGATAGCTTCTTGCAAAAATGTTAGTCATTCTTCTGTAATTAGAATCAAAAAAATAAAAGAAAAAACAGGTTCTTTTAATACTATACCAAGACCAGGCTGCCCAAGAATACTTACAGAACGTCATGATCAAAATGTTGCTAGGCTTATTAAGTCGGATGAATATTCAAATGCAATCCAAATTCAAAAAATTTAATTTCTAATGAAAATATTATTGTTTCTGCAAATACAATTCGACGCTCATTAAAAAGGCAAGGCCTTGCAGCTAGAGTTAAAAAGAAAAAGCTATTGCTTCTAAAACGACATAGAATTGCTCAAAAAAACTTTGCTAAAAGTATCGTGATTAGACTACAGAAGATTAGCGAAGGGTAGTGTGGTCAGATGAGAGTAAGTTTCTAATTTTTGGTTCAGATGGAAGGGAATGGTGTTGGAGAGATCCAAAATTATCTTTGCAACCACAATATATTAAGCTGATTGTAAAGTTTGGTGGAGGTTCTGTAATGATATGAGGTTGTATAGATGCATTTGGTATAGGAAAGTACTGTAAAATTGATGAAAGAATGGATGGAGAGTTATATCGAGAGATTTTGGCAGATGAATTTATGGAAACCCTTAGCGAATGTGATTTAAATGTAGATGATGTCATTTTCCAACAGGATAATGATCCAAAACATACAGCAAAAAAGACATACGAATGGTTTGATAGTAATAATGTTAAGATTTTGGATTGGCCATCACAATCACCGGACTTAAATCCTATCAAACATCTGTGAAATGAAATTGATCGTTGATTGCGGCAGCTTCCTAATAATATTACTAGTGCAGAAGATTTATGGAATAAGATACAACTGATATGGAGTCAAATGGATACCGACTTTTGTTTGAAACTAATTAATACAATGCCACAAAGAATTAAAGATATACTTAAGGCTAATGGAGGATATACAAAGTGGTAATAATATATTAAAAAAAATTTGAGGTGTAGTAGGTTAGCAACAAATCAAAGAATTTTATGTAATTAGTTTATTCTTTATATATGCCAAAAGTATTGTTTCACGAAAAAAATATATAACGTGGAATTTTTTAAAAATTTACAAATAAAGTATCAATTAAATTTAAATATATTAAAAATAAAGTCACAGACTTTAAAATTGTTTAAATTTTCGATTTTATTATTATTTAATTACATGGGTATTATGATTTGAAAATTTTAAACGAAATGGAATAATAATTATGGAAGTCACTATATGTCGGCTTCGTAGATATTCTCTTAACAAGATACCAACTATTCTGTCAGAAGTTGATGAACTTATTTCCATAGTTTATGATGTGCTAATTGTAAAGGTAATGGTCTATTAAATTACCAACCAATATCATATATAGCTTATACTTATCTATTATTTTTTCAGCTCTGAATTACTCGATGTTTGGAATATTCAAATAATCCAAGTGATAAAACTTCGATTAACAGCAATGAAGCTTTAAAGAAATGCTTAAAGAAAAAACTATAAACTGACGACAAGAAAATTATAATTATGAATTTCCAAGTACGCAGAAGATTCCCAAAAAAAAAAGATTGAAACCCCCAAAAAAGTCTGAATAAGAAACTCATTTTTTATATTTGTTTTTACATGATAGTATCACCTGCACAACGAAACTTTAATATATCACTATAAGATTCTTATCAAGATCTTTGTTACTGAATTAATATCAATAAAGTTTAGCCAGCTTGGCCATTTATTTTTCTATATGTTATAATATTTTTTGATCGATAGTGACACTGCATAATTAGTGAACAGCCTGTCCAAAATTTTCTTATAAATATGACTGCTCATCAACTACCCCCCTTGCTGATCATCTCGTGATTTGAGTTACGAGAAGGTTGCGAGAAAGTGCTGGGAGCCAGGGTAATATAAATTTTTATGTTATACATCAAATGCAACACCTCTGACTAATCCCTATTAATCACAAGAGATTCACAAACTGCATGTAAATATAAAATTAGCCTAGCCGAGATATGATACTAATATGACTCTATATAAATTCATATAAATTTGAATGATGATATTCTATAGTATAAGTTGCTAAAGAATTATTAGAATTTGCTAAAAACGCTTATAAATCAACAATATCATAAAATTGTTATAATTTACTAAAACACTAGATAGTAGAACCTATTCCAAGCTAATTGATGAAAACAATACTTATGGAGGCTCTAAAGAATATATAAGAATACTTGATGCAATATTACCTTTAACAAAAAGACGTGATCACAAAACACCAGAAATGTGGTACTCCCGTATCCGTAGTCCATTTAGAAAAATACTTGAAGAGAATCTAAGAATCCTTTCTAAGAATAGATATATTATAATGTATGGAAAGCTTTATGAAAATGATAAAGTCCACACTAATCGAACAAATTATATATATTGTAATGTATGTGACTCCTTAGTTTTCATACCTGGAACTTTTTATAACAACTATCACAGTCATGATAACCACTTGAAAAGATGTATTTCTGAAAATACTATTTTGAATGAACATGCAAGAAGAAATGAAATTCTCCAAACTATTAATAGAAGGAAATTTCAGATCTGGCAATATAAACAATACATATTACAAGAAGAGGCTAAAATTAATTGTCTTTAGCTAGAGCTTTCATCCCCATCTATCTCACACTCAGAAAAGGATAAATTGGCATTGGTATCATATGATTCTGATGGGAATTTTACGGTTAGCTATACCAAGTGCTTCAAATTTTGAGCCAGCTTGTATTTCTGTTACCTCTAGTAACCAAGAAGTGATTTCACTGACTCCTATCAATCATCGAATTGTAGAAGTGATATAAGCAAATTATTTATCTCATCTCAGTATACAAAACAGCCAAAAGATACTGTGTTAAGATTGAGAAATGGAATAGTAATCATGATTGTCTAACTTTCTTAACATATAACTTAATAATACATATTTTATTAGGTCTATTTTTTTTGCGAAATAATAGCTACATAATCTGCATGTATGTTCGCTTAGTAAAATTTCGCTATGCATAATTTAGCCGTCCATGGTGATCAGATCTAATTTAACCAAATCAGCTACAAATCAATTAACTGCTAATCAGCAAATCTATATAAATTTGAATGATGATATTCTATAGTATATGTTACTCAAGAATTCGCTAAAAATACTATAAATCAATAAAATCAATATAATTTGCTAAATATGACGGTTGTTACCTTGGTAAGTGCTATTAACATTAATATGATTATTGATAAAAAACAATGGTGGTTACTTAAGCCCGTCAGTAATCGTCTTGGATATGATATGAAATATTATAGAACATATCTCAGAAATTACTAGAGTGGTATCGATTTCAAAAAATTCCTTGCTAATAAAAAATCTATGCTAAATTATCAATAATGAGAAAGGGGGAGTCTTCAGTGCAGTGGGAATTACGAGTTAAAAGTACTCTCCAATATTTATTATCACGAAATGAAAATAGCATATACCATAGTTTCTGCTTGTTTGCAGGATTTGGTAAAGGAAAATTTGATGAATCATATCATTTTTATTATCGTCCTAAAATCCATAAAAACAATATAGCAATCTGCTTTTATTGCTGAAAACTATTTTGAGTTAATGAAATAAAGCTAATAAAGATATACTA